GTCAGCAGAGACCTGCAAGGAGATTTTGAAAATATCACCGTGTGTGTACATGAAGTGCAGTGGGAACCCTTTGGCTGATGTTAGTGAGTAATGTTAACCTCATGGAAGAACTGTGTGACAATGGGTCCCAGGGCAGAGATGTGTCAAAGGCCCCCCCACCTACTGACTCACTCACTCATGTTAGTGAGACACCCAAACTGAAAGCAGGGCGTTGTTTGTGTTGTCATTTTGGGTCTCCTTGCGGTCATTTTGGTCTCTCCGAGGCTGGTTTAACATCTTCTTGTGTTTATTTTGAGTCCTTTTTTGGATCATGAGTTGTTTTGTTGAAGTAATTTTATCTCATTTTGTTGTGACTTCACTTTTTTTTTTAGTAGTTTCATAAGTTTGATCTTTTTTCAGCACCTAAGCATTTTCCACTCTCAGTTAACTGCCTCTAAACTTGAAAATGAACAACCTTGGGTACGGTGGCCAACAGATAATTCTAAAATTCATCTAAAAAGATCATCTGCTGTTGTCTCACGCTATCTCTGTCATCCTCAACTGTGACACACACCCTTCTTCTTCTCTGAGGTCTTCCTCTTTTACTCCATGGCAGCTCCATGTTCAACATCCTTTGTCAATTATGTCCCTCCTCTGCACATGTCCAAACCATCTCAGCCTTGCCTCTCCAAATTTGTCTCCAAACTGCCCAACCTGAGCTCTCCATCCGATATACTAATAGCTTCTTCAGTTTACCAATAAACACTGATGATTTTTAGCTGCAGAAGCAGTAAAAATGACCCCTTCACTAAAAGTAGCAAATGGCAACAGGTTGTATTTTAACACGGGAAAGGTTTGCAAGATTTAACAAAAGGTTTATTGTGTGGAGGGGAGGTGAGCCAGAGATCGCATTTGTCATGAGCAACGGGGAGTAACCAACAGTGAGCAAAGGAATGCCTCACTGTTGACAGAACAATATGGTAAGAATGAGTAGCAGGACCGGGGATATATATTCTGGAGTTCGATGATTAGTTGATTGAGACCATATGTGCTATTCCAGGACCTGTGGAAATCAGATGAGTCCGCACAAACATGATATGACACTCAACACAGAGGCCCAGTTCCACTCTTACATTAGTGGCAAATCTAAATGAATTTTCAGTTGTTTCATTCACGTTTATTCACCAACAACGCTGCTTGAAAATAAACTCCCTGAAAACGTTTCAAGCTCTTCTGCCCCCAAGTATTTGCACCATAGATTGTGTTGGCTTTATTATCATCGGTACATAATATAAAAGATGCACCAAATATATTACAATGAGTGTGACTGTGTGGTCACCAGTTGAGATTTTCTTAGAACTGTGTTTTCTCAAATGAGATCAGATTTCATTTGACACTAAGGACCTGCTTTTTTCAGTGCAAGGTTTGTTAGCACATGCACAACATGTCTGCTTTTCATCTATGAATAATGTGTTCTTTTTCCTGCCGCCCTGAGAAAGGAAGAGATGCTGTAGCTGCTAAAGCTCTGCGTAGGTCCACAGACTGTTAATCTGGTCTCATCCCCCTCTGTTGTTGTATAACAGCCAAAAATTTCCCAATCTTCTCACTTAACTCACATAATCAACTTTAGGACCAGATGTCTGGTCTAAATTAGTCTGGCCTCCCCAGCATCAGTGTTTGGAGTCTTGTCAGCTTAAAATTTTTTTTTTAAAAAAGCCAGAAAAGAAAAAAAAACAGCTCTTTTTAATTTCATCCTGCATTTGTCATGCTATATTGTCTGGGCCACATGCAATCAGTGACTAAACAGATTAGCTACAGAACAACAAATGTGTGTTCCAGGTACCCAGAAATGGAAAGTTGGAAATAAAAATAATGACATCATAATCTACGGGCTGATTCGTTTGTTGAAAAATTCAATAAATTAGTCACCAGTTGGACAAGAGTGTTGCAGCCTGAGGATGCCTCGGTGGGGCCGCTTTTGGGGGGAAAAAATTACAGATACAGAAACAAAAACTCGAAAGTCTGAAGGATTTGGGACGTGTGGACGTATTGAGCCAAAACTGAGCTGGCATAAGAGCTGCTTTACTGTTCGCCCTTGGCCTCTTTCCCTTTTCAGTTTACTCCAAGGCAGGCTGCTTACAGCTGTCTCTAAGGAGCCCTAATCAAAAACAAAAAAGGTTAAGGACTCACATTGCACTCATCTCAATGGTCACCCCCATCCCCCCTACGAAATCCTCAAGGCAGAGGTCCACATGGTCTATATCACGCTATGAGCTCACCAGAGGCGAGTCATGGCTTCAGCGCCAAAGAGCCAAGCCTAACACATCATTATTGCAGCTCATTGTTCCAAACTGCATCCTTATAGGAGTTACCCACATTTACGTACACTCACAAATAAGACTCAACTAAATACCTAAAAAATGAACAGCCATGACAATTTCGTGAGTTATCATGAACATTTATTGGTCATAATGGGAATACAAATGTCGTGCATATTTACAGCATATAAAAAGTTTTATAAACCAAAGGGAACAATAACGGCTAACTTACGCTTGACACATGTACAAACACCAATAAAAGGCCGTCTTGGTATTAAGGGGAAGTTGTAATTTGACATTGGTTGCTTTCAAAAATCAAATGGGAAACTGCTTTCAAACCATAATGGGGCCCCAGAAAAAGAATCCATAGCAAAGCAAACACTCACATCGATACAGACACACAAATAACACATTCATAGAAAAACATGAGGTAGTCAAATGGTTAAAAAAATACAATCATTAACTAGTAATCCATAACTAATCTATGGATTTATGCTCCAATTTTCAGCTGTTCTGAATTCAGCATTTACTGTCTCTCAGCGAAGCCACATCTTTTACCGCTACAGTAACACGTTTGGTGTGGCACAGCATTATTTCGTATTTATTAAAAACCCGACATTATCCATACCTGTTCATGAGGGGGGGAAGTTTTGAAGCTTTTCCCAGCTTGCACTGGGGCAAAACTCAGGGAGGAATGTTGGTATTTGAAAAGTGACTCTCACAAATTGTATTGAATTGTTAGTTCGAGTGAAAAATATCCCCAAATTATCTCAAATGAGAAGATTAGATCCAGAACATAACTCGAGGCTCGGGCGCTTAACAGCATGAGTGGATGAGGGCGGGTGGGGGGTGAGGGGGATAATTATATGTTTAAAATGGCTTCGCCACACTCGATAAGAGAAACCACAAAAGTACAGGAATGCCAAAAGCGTTAATCCCGCTACGGCTGCTGATTATAGGCTGCGGCACATTTCAACTCTGCAGAGCGTGGATCTTTCACTGAGGATGATCACTGTACCCTGCAGTGGGATATTGTTTTTTTTTTTACAATTATGCTAATTGCTAACAGCAACAGTGCTCTGCAAAAGGACTGCTGCATATATGCATAACTTAGCTTTACCAAATAAAGCTTTTAGCTGGATTTTGGCTGTGGACACACATGGCAGAAAGCCCGATAAAACAAACAAGCTGTGAAGGTTGCTCCAAACAGAGTGTTTCTAATACAGCTTAATAAAAAATATTTCTCAGGTGTTATTGAAAACAGTTGAGTTTCCACTATCAAAATAACTGAAGGTTGATTTTTTTTTTTCCACTGTTCCATCAGGGGTTTAGGCATGATTTCATATTTTTTTCATTATCTTAAAAGAGGGTATATGTCACTGTTGTGACAACCAAAGAACCAAAACAAGTTCGGTATCTGGGTTATTTTATATAACAATGGGGAGGACTCCATCCTTTACTAATTTTATGTGGAAAAATATATATTTTTACATCTATAGCTACAGCTTATCTTTAGTGAAATAAACTTTATACTTAAGATGTACAACATCTGATTTCTTTACTTCATATCTGACACAATTTATATAAAATAGCGAGAAGCGGCACATGGAAAATTGAACCCAAACACTATCTGACAAAATAATATCATGCTTAAACAAAAGATTTGTATTCCAGATTTGTTTACATATGATAATAATAACAATCTCTTTCTATTGTATTCTTTATGAAGTCAATAAGACACATCATCCCATCGAATAACAGAAAGAATTAAGAAAATAATCATGACATATTTTTTTACATTTCTTTTTCAAAAATATTAGTCCCTTTCTGACTATAAATACTACTATTTCATTTTCATTAAAGTGTCCTAAAGAATGGTATAACGTTTAAACAAATAGTGTAAATAAATCCTCCCGCAAATGTGTGTTATGTATGAGCAAATCCACAATTCACAGTACGTACACACATAGAAGACAATAAATTTCTTTTAGTTAATATATTCCAAAATATAATTTTATACACAAATATATATATTTATACTCTCTGTAGAAAGCTTTATACATGTTTACATGAAAAAATGAAAAGCCTTAAGATGATACACATTCTGGTTACTGCTTACAAAGTTAAATGATAGCAGGGAAAGGGCCCAGTTTGTCCTCCACACACATACAGCAATCATTCATCAACAGTGGGGTAATCGTGGTACTGCAGTTTGAAGAAGGCAGGAAACTATACGTTGGTAAAAGTCAGCTTCAGCTGCAGCTTATTCAACACACAGTCAGTGCCGAGATTCATAGAAAAACATCTGGGAAAAGGAAAACCAAACACTTTATGTTTGATCTCTTAAAAATGACAACAAAAAACTCTCTGATAAGGAGTTCAATGATTCATCAGCCAACTGACAAAGTTAATCCTCGCGTTATCATGAGAACAAACTAAATCTTTATTTTGCAGCCTTTCAAATGTAAAAATGTTCTGCTTT